AAAGAATGTAAATTAAGTTACAAAAAAAAAAAAAAAAGAAGTTTCAGGAAAAAAAAAAAAATCCATTCGATGACCACAGTAAGATATATAGCCCCAGCTAGGTGCTACTTTATAGGATGCCTAAAGTTAGACTTGGGTTCATGGAAATGTATATATCGGCTGTGTTTGCTATGACAATATTTAGATTAATTAAGATCTTTAGTAATTCAATAAAAAAATGGGGGGAAACAGTATAGAAAGTAAATATAGATACCAGAGACAGTGTGGGAAGAGTGGGAGATGGCAGAGGGTAAGAGATAGGGAATCAAGGATGGAGAGGGAAGCAACACATACAGGAAACAAATGGAAAATTATTTGTTGACAATAACATGTATGTTGATGTGCTTGATTGAGACAATATACAGTGTACTCTGGATGGAAAAAAGAAAAAAAAAAAAAGCTAAGTGAAATGACTTTGTACCTCTGGGTCCGGACGCTGGACATATCTGAAAGGGGAATCCAGCAGAGTTTTGGGACACTCACAGGCTTCTACAATCCCCAAGGAGGTACTCTTCCTCTCAGTTTCACCGTTCCCCTCCTTTCTCTACACTTTGATAAGTAGGTGCGAAACCCCACAACTTCACCCGATCAATCTGCTACAAGCTGTTGCAGAAAAATCCACAGAGCAGGATGGACAGAAGGCTAGGGACAAGGGGCAGCAATAGCTCACTCTGAAACGAGACGCGACAATCACCCTCATTTCAGCTCCAGCACGGCATCGGGCTGAAAGAGCTTTTCAAGTGTCTGGAGTAGGACGAGAGAAAACCTGAGGAAATAGCTAAAATGAAGTGACATGCTGGACCGTGTTCATACGGAGGATTTACTGAGAACTCTGGAGCTGGAAGTAAAGATGAGGAAGAAAGGGTGTAAGCTGGAATCCTTAAAGAATTGATCTCCAAGGTACTTCATTTTTACAGAACAACAATCACCCTCGGAGATAAACGTAGAGGGCTGATCATCACCGACGGCCCTTGCCCAGGCAGGACAGCCGCTCAGGGGAGGGCGTGCTGGTGGGTAGTGCTTGGACACAGAAGGCACCAAGCCAGGAACTCTGGGGTGAGCCTGGCAGGAATAAGAGCACGAGCAGGTGAGGCCCTCACGTGGCCTGAAGCCACGGGGAGCTACATTTGCGGGGCTGCCTCCGTCACCCAGGAAGGGACGCCTGTGCAGGGGATGGAACAGGAGCCCCCGCTTACCTTTGCAGCCACACTTCTTGCACGTAGTGTTCAGGACAGCCTCAAGGGTGATCTTCTGCCCCGTGTAGTCCTGGAAGGACCGCCTCCGCCTCTCTTCCTGCCTGGAATGAAACAGCACTGACTGCTGGCCCTGAGATGCAGTCAGAGGTGCTACAAAGTAAAGCTGGCCGTCGGGGCGTCGGGTTTGTTTGGGTTTGGTTTCAGCAGAAGGAGAGAAAGGGGTGGGCAGCAGGAGACAGGCAGTGAAAGCAAGGATGTGGAACAGCCCAGAATTCTCCTTTCAGGGCAGGGCTTTCAGTGAACAATTACAAATAAAATTAGGCCTCGTCTCACTAACGCACAGAGGATGAAAACAGAATTACTCACCAATCTGAACACACTACAACCGTTATCAGGGCACTCCTCATCTGTCTTTGACCGAGTTTTCCAGCCTGTCTCTCCTTATGCAGTATGCTCTGGCCAAACAAGACTACGTCACCTCCTCCAGATGGCTCGCTGTCCTTTGCTCAGACAGTCCCCTGGCTCTGAAATGCTCCCCTTCCTCTCCTGCTCACACCTCAGCACCTCACTACACCCAGATACCTCACAGCTAGGATCAGCTATCACCTCTCCTTCCTCCAAGGCTTCTTCTCTCAGCCAGCATTAATCTCTGTTCACATTCCCACGGTACTTTTGTTTTTTTAAGAGATTTTTGCTATAGGGCGCATGTGCTCACTAGAGACACAGAAAGACAGAGAAAGAAAGTGAAAAATCACTCCCCTGGAGGGCTGGCCACATCACAATCTATTCCCCTCCATTCTCCTCCTGGGATTTTGGGCATACAAGCAGACATGCCCAGCATGAGCTCAAAGGCACTGGGTTCAGGAATTGAACTGCAGGAGTGGGAGATGGCAGAGGGTAAGAGATAGGGAATCAAGGATGGAGAGGGAAGCAACACATACAGGAAACAAATGGAAAATTATTTGTTGACAATAACATGTATGTTGATGTGCTTGATTGAGACAATATACAGTGTACTCTGGATGGAAAAAAGAAAAAAAAAAAAAGCTAAGTGAAATGACTTTGTACCTCTGGGTCCGGACGCTGGACATATCTGAAAGGGGAATCCAGCAGAGTTTTGGGACACTCACAGGCTTCTACAATCCCCAAGGAGGTACTCTTCCTCTCAGTTTCACCGTTCCCCTCCTTTCTCTACACTTTGATAAGTAGGTGCGAAACCCCACAACTTCACCCGATCAATCTGCTACAAGCTGTTGCAGAAAAATCCACAGAGCAGGATGGACAGAAGGCTAGGGACAAGGGGCAGCAATAGCTCACTCTGAAACGAGACGCGACAATCACCCTCATTTCAGCTCCAGCACGGCATCGGGCTGAAAGAGCTTTTCAAGTGTCTGGAGTAGGACGAGAGAAAACCTGAGGAAATAGCTAAAATGAAGTGACATGCTGGACCGTGTTCATACGGAGGATTTACTGAGAACTCTGGAGCTGGAAGTAAAGATGAGGAAGAAAGGGTGTAAGCTGGAATCCTTAAAGAATTGATCTCCAAGGTACTTCATTTTTACAGAACAACAATCACCCTCGGAGATAAACGTAGAGGGCTGATCATCACCGACGGCCCTTGCCCAGGCAGGACAGCCGCTCAGGGGAGGGCGTGCTGGTGGGTAGTGCTTGGACACAGAAGGCACCAAGCCAGGAACTCTGGGGTGAGCCTGGCAGGAATAAGAGCACGAGCAGGTGAGGCCCTCACGTGGCCTGAAGCCACGGGGAGCTACATTTGCGGGGCTGCCTCCGTCACCCAGGAAGGGACGCCTGTGCAGGGGATGGAACAGGAGCCCCCGCTTACCTTTGCAGCCACACTTCTTGCACGTAGTGTTCAGGACAGCCTCAAGGGTGATCTTCTGCCCCGTGTAGTCCTGGAAGGACCGCCTCCGCCTCTCTTCCTGCCTGGAATGAAACAGCACTGACTGCTGGCCCTGAGATGCAGTCAGAGGTGCTACAAAGTAAAGCTGGCCGTCGGGGCGTCGGGTTTGTTTGGGTTTGGTTTCAGCAGAAGGAGAGAAAGGGGTGGGCAGCAGGAGACAGGCAGTGAAAGCAAGGATGTGGAACAGCCCAGAATTCTCCTTTCAGGGCAGGGCTTTCAGTGAACAATTACAAATAAAATTAGGCCTCGTCTCACTAACGCACAGAGGATGAAAACAGAATTACTCACCAATCTGAACACACTACAACCGTTATCAGGGCACTCCTCATCTGTCTTTGACCGAGTTTTCCAGCCTGTCTCTCCTTATGCAGTATGCTCTGGCCAAACAAGACTACGTCACCTCCTCCAGATGGCTCGCTGTCCTTTGCTCAGACAGTCCCCTGGCTCTGAAATGCTCCCCTTCCTCTCCTGCTCACACCTCAGCACCTCACTACACCCAGATACCTCACAGCTAGGATCAGCTATCACCTCTCCTTCCTCCAAGGCTTCTTCTCTCAGCCAGCATTAATCTCTGTTCACATTCCCACGGTACTTTTGTTTTTTTAAGAGATTTTTGCTATAGGGCGCATGTGCTCACTAGAGACACAGAAAGACAGAGAAAGAAAGTGAGAAATCACTCCCCTGGAGGGCTGGCCACATCACAATCTATTCCCCTCCATTCTCCTCCTGGGATTTTGGGCATACAAGCAGACATGCCCAGCATGAGCTCAAAGGCACTGGGTTCAGGAATTGAACTGCAGGGACCAGCAGTTGGCAGGATGGCTATGTCGCTAGACTCCCATGTAGTCGACCGCAGTTTGAGTCCCAGATCCAGTGGCTTAAACTCACATAGGGCACGTGTGTGTGTGTGTGTGTGTGTGTGTGTGTGCCCAAGATCCCAAGAGGAGAATGGAGGAGAAGGGATTGTGGTGTGGCCATTCCCCCGGGGGGGTGATTTCTCACTTTCTGTCTCTTTGTCTCTCTTTCTGGCAAGCACATGCACCCTTTACCAAAAACCTCTCCAAAAAAAATAATAAATAAAAAAAGAGTAATTGAACTGCAGTTGACTCTGTGGGAGTCTAGCGACGCAACCATTATGCCATCTGCTGGTCCTCCCATGGTACTTTAAACAAATTACTTAAAAACTCCCCAGAGAGAGACAGAGGAACAGAGAGGAAAAAGAAAGTGCCCCCCAATGGGCACGCTTACACTGCAATCTCTTCTCCTCCATTTCTCCAACCTTTCAGGGTTTGGGACATGAACACATGAACGGCATGTACATTTAGCAATCAAGGCTAGGATTCGAATCAGCCATGTGGGATCTGGTCCTTTAACCATTAGACTGGGCCAGCCTTCCCACAGCACATCTTCAAAATGAAAGCTTCTGGGGCTAGCAGGTAGCATAGTGGTTAAGCCACTGGACTCCCACATGGTTGACCATGGTTCGAGTCCTGGACCTGGCAGCTTAAATCTCACATTAGACACGTGTACATGCATATGCAAAAATGTTTTTTTTTTTTTTTGGAGAGGTTTTCTGCTATAGGGTGCGTGCACTCGCCAGCCAGAGAGAGACATAGAGACAGAAAGCGAGAAATCACCCCCCCGGGGGGATGGTCACGCCGCAATCCCTCCTCCTCCATTCTCTTCTCGGGATCTTGGGCACACACGCACACATGCCCGGTGTGAGTTTTAAGCCACCGGGTCCGGGACGAGAACTGCAGTCCAGTGACATAGCTAACTGCTGGTTCCCCATATCCAAAAATTACACTAACTGCTGGTTCCCCATATCCAAAAATCTTGAGAGGAGAACAGAGAAAGGATTGCAGTGTGGCCACCCTGCTGGGGCGATTTCTTGCTTTCTGTCTCTCTGTTTCTCCAACAAGCACATGTGCCCTCTAGAGAAAATCTAAAAAAATAAATAAATAAAATAAAAAAGAGAGAGAGAGAAAGAAAAACACAAATGGATAAACTTTAAAAACAAATTCTGGAGGGTTGGTAGGAGAAGAGGTGGTTAGAGCACAGAACTCGCACATGGCTGACTGTGGTTTTAGGTCCCAAACCTGGCGGCTTCCTTCTCGTTTTCCCCTTGTCTTTCTCTGGTGTGTGCACATGACTTATAGCAAATTAAAGAAAAACAAAAACATAAACTAAAATAAATAATTATTTTTTCCCTCTTTAATAGAGAGATTTTTGCTATAGGTGCTTATGCTTGCCAGAGAGACAGATCTTAGGCACATGCACACGCGCCTGGCGTGAGTTTATGGTGCTGGGTCCAGGACTCCAACCATGGTCAAGTGCAAGGGATTCCAGCGACGTAACCATAATGCCATCTGCTGCTCCCAATAAATACATCTAAAAAAAAAATTCTAGGGGCCAGCAGTGGCATGGAGGTTAAAGTGCTGGATCCTACAGGGATGGCTGCACAGTTTGAAACCGGGAGCTGATGGCTAGAACATCATGCTGGGTATATGTGTATGTGTGCCTAAAATTCCGAGAACAGAACGGAGGAGAAGGCATGACGGTGGTGTGACCATCCCCCTTGGAAGGGTGGGAGAATTTCTCACTTTCCTTCCCTTTTTCCTGTCTCTCGCTGGCAAGTGCATACACCCTATAGCAAAAAGAAAGAAAGAAAGAATTTTAAAAAGAATAAATTCTAAACTTCTGACCAAGTGTGTAATACGTACATAGAAAAGATTTTGCCTTGGACCAGACAGAGTAATGGGAGTCATTGGACTCTCAAGTAGTTGACCGCGGTTCAAGTCCCGGACCTGGTGGCTTAAAACTCACACCGGGCGCGTGTGCGTGCTTGCCCGAGATCCCCAGAGGAGAATGGAGAAAGAACTGCAGTGTGGCCATCCCCTGGCGGGGGGTAGTTTTCACTTTCTGTCTCTCTGTCTCTCCCACAAGTACACCTGCCCAATAGCAAAAAATCTCTCATAAAAAAAGATTTTGCCTTATGTGCACGGCTTGTTTGATTTTCACACCTTGAACAGACCCATGAAGCCAGCCCACGCCCCCTCTAGTCACCAAAGGGGAACACCATTCTGATTCTGAACAGCACGTTTGTGTGACCCCCTCTGTAAGTTACATATGTAGAGTCACGGAATACAACACTTCTGTGTGGGGACCTGCTCATCTGTGCCATCTATCCACGCTGTTACGTGCGGTTATGACTGCTCATTATCATCACCATACAGTGCTCCACTCCTGGTGGGTGCTGGAGTCATTTTTCCCACGAAGAGTGCTGCTATGAACATTCTAGAACTTGTCTTCGCTGGACATATTTGTGCCTACTGGGAAACGCCTAGTTCCACATAGGAGTGCAACTGCTGGGCTTTAGGGCATCAGCTTCAGAGGACAGCTAACCAATCTGCACTCCTTCCGGCACAGTGAGAACACTCCGGCTGTCACAGCGTTCGCTCTGTAACACACACTACCTGCTAAATGAACACTCGGGAGACATGCGACTGAAGACCATAGCCCTGTCACACTTCTCTCGCTCTCTTTTTCGATTGGAGGATGTGAGCACTAAAGGGGGGAAGTGGGAGAGAGGGGAGGAGAGGGAGAAGGAGGAAGAGAGGAGAGAGAAGGAAAAAAAGGAAAGACAGGGAAAGCACTCTCAATGACATGACTATGCCGCAATCCTTCCCCCGTTTCTCCATCCTGTCAAGATTTGTGCAGGCACGCACATATGCATACCGGGCGTGTTTTCCAAGTTGCTGGGGCCAGGATTTGAATCGTAGTCTGCATGTGGGGTCTGAATTCCTTTATGCTGTGTTTAACTGCTACACTACAGGGCTGGCCCTCAATCACCTTTTTTTCGTTTTGAAATTTTTGCTATAGGGCATGTGCGCTCACCTGAAAGGAGAGGAAAAGTGAGCAATGACCGCCGGGGGGGATGAGGGTGGCCTTGCCACCATCCCTTTTCCTCCACTGTCCTCTTGGGCCATAGGACGTGCACACACACGTACCCAGCATGTTTTTAAAGCCGCTGGGTCCCAGACTCAAAGTGCACAGCCAGCCATGTGGGATTAACCACCATGCCACTGGCTGACCCTCCCCAAACCCTGATGTGTCTTCCATACACTCTGACCCTAGCGCACACCGCACTTCACTGCGCCACATATTCTCACTCCCCAGAGGGCGGCCCTGTAAGTTCCAGTACCTTACTTGTGTTCGCTTTCCCAGCTTCCTAGCCCAAGCTTGGCACACAACAAGTGTTAATAGTTTTCTTTGCCCTTCACCCAAAAATATTCTTTTTATACCTGAAACTCTTTAACTTTAAACTCGGACTGCACGTAAGATTTTTAACACTGTTTAAAGAATCCGTGACGGGGCAGCAGGTGGCATAATGGTGACAGCACCAAGCTCTCATGTAGCTGATCACAGTTCAAGTCCCAGACCTAACAGCTTGTAACTCATGCCAGACATACGTGCATGCAAGCCCAAAATCCTGAGAGGAGAGTGGAGAAGGGACTGTGTTGTGGCCATCTCCTCTTGGGGGTGGATTTCTCACTTTCTGTTTATCTCTGTTTCTCTGGCAAACATCTCAAAAGGGAAAAATTCATGGCAGAGTGTATGCATGAAGACCTAGTGAGTGAGAAAGACGCGCCCGGCACAGGGCTCGGTCATGCTGTGCCTCCCTCCTCCAGTGGTCTGGTCCACAGCGTCCTGTGTATGTGCGAGCCTGGCATTCCTAGACCAGCCAGGCCAGAGACTTGAACCACAGTCAGTATGCTGCTTCTAGCTCTGCAACCTGACGCACTACCAGCAGTACTAGAAGATTCTCACACTACTCAGTAAGACTTTATCCTCCGATAGCAAACAGTCTATTAGGAATGGTCAATGTGGCACATTCCAATCACCGGCCATGGTGGCTTCAGTAACACACCAGCACACGTGTGCATGTGCGTGAGTACCCCAAATCCTGACAGGACGGAGAGATGAGACCACAGGTGATGGGAGCTCCTCCTCCCTCTCTGTC